CAAAGGAACCCGAACCGAACCGAATACCAATGGTTCCATAGTTAGCTATGGAATCGAACTGGAACCATGGAACCTAATTGGAACCGAACCAGTCGATTCCTATTCGGTCCACTTCGGTTCTTTAACTTGAAAATGTCAAAATAAAATGTTTACTAATTAAAAATCTAAAGATGTTACCAACGTGATACTTTTAACAAAATATAGAAAAATCGAACATACTATTCAAAGATTAAAAGAAAGCTATACAAATTTAAAAATAATATCCAAATAATATATCCAATGATTAAACAAACTTCCATCAAAATCAAAATCTTACATTGAATTGGACACCCTTTAAAAATTTATTGCAACTTCTGGTTCTATCAATTATAATATGTAGAAATTTAGATGAAAAGTTTCAATCAGATTAACAATTATGTAATCAAAGTGAAACAAAATAAAAATTTCGCATTTTAGAAATGAGATTATATATTGTAAATAAATTTATTTGGATATAGAATTACCTAATATTCTAATTTGGCTTGAAAATTAATTAATCAAAAAATTATAAGAAGAGAGAAGGAAAGAATCAAAGAGAAGAAGGAAAGTGCTTGAATTTAAAATGAAGAAGGAACCCGATTATTTTTATAAAAGTGATTGACGATTGAGTCATATGTTTTAAAAAAAAAAAAAGAAAAGAAAAAAAAAATCCTATGAGATCCGTGATTAAAATGCTGCTTGATCTTTGGTTTGATGGCAAGGCCCTAGCTGCATAAGCTATTTACCTAATTCCTAGAGGCACATTTGCGATAATCTACCGAACATATATAAGAAAGAAATATTAGAGGATCATGAAATTTAGGTCAATAGTTCAACAAATAACTGCAAAACTACCCAAAATAATATCGAACTGAGACCACATATTCCTATTCACCTCATTTAGATTAAATTGCCAATCTCTCACATAGAAGAAGTCCTATTTCCAGTTCTTGATGGATAAAGGAGTACATAACACAATTAGCCTTCATGTGTAGGCTTTGTTGGCTTTTACGCTTGTATAATACCATTCTGAGTCTTTCTTATTTTAATTGGAGATGTAAAGAAAGTTAAACTATTCAACGGTGAGCTCAGGGAAATCCAACCTATGCCAAAACAACATGCAACCAGAGTCGGACCTGATGAAAGACCCAGAATTTTAGGGGGCCCATTTTAAACTTTTTTTTTTTTTTTTTAAAACCTACTATGCTCATGCGTTCAAAAGAAACGAATAAATACTTTAATGAGAAGAGAAGGAAGGAACATCAAAAAATTTATTTGTTAATTTAAGTTAACAAATTTAATTCCGTAAACTTCTAATTTTTTATTTTTATTTTTTTTAAAAATGATTGTTTGTTACGACTTAGGGCCTAGGGCCCAAATTTCGAAGTTCGCTTCAGGTCCCGTGAAGCACAAGTACGACACTGCATGCAACCATATAAAGACCTCCACCCATTTGGACAAAGCTGTGTTGGGGCAATTCCCCATGAAGACAAGAACTTCTTGATCACAAGTATGGCACTGCATGCAACCATATAAAGACCACTTTCGATTCTTGTATTAATGGCCCTAACAGGGTTGGGTACGAGTGGAATGGAAGTAGAAGACATAGGATAAACAATGGGTAGAGGAACGGGGCTAAGAATTTTGCCAGCTTGAGAAAGCGACAGATGAAGAATATGACAAGGGCGCCAGAGAGGAGCTTATATCTTTTTTCTGATTATTTTTCCAAAAATGCACTATTGAGTTGTTTGAACTCATTATATAAGGCAGTAGGAAAAAAGGTAATTTTTTTGAGGAATAGAAAAAAATACTTGGGACAAATTGGCCACAAGTGAATTTTCAAAAAATGGTTTGAATCTTGAATGTTGAAGTGCACAACTCAGTGCATCCCTTCTGAGATGTGGAATTGGATTTCTTGTAGGCACATTGTACATGCAGCTCTTATTTCGTGGCCTGTTAGGACACATCTAGCGATTTGTCTCCCTCACAAAACTCTAAGAGTTGGATGGTAGGGGCTCTCAAGGCTGGGGTTCAAACTTTTTTTTTTTTTTTAAAGGAATACAAAGAGGCACCTTTTCCAACCATTGGGAAAGATGAAAAGGCACATCTTCCTCATTAAGCCATTGTTTGAATTTTTGAGTAACTAATCATGATCTATCAAATCGAAGCCTTGAATCGTTGACCTAGTCTTGATTCGTCAAGAAATGTGTCAAAATTTATGATGATATTGTTTGGAGCAAAGACCAGAATTGTCATCCAAAGTTAATAATCCTGACCTTTGGGGGACAAACTGTTGGCGTAGGTCCATTAAATCAGGATTTGGTAAATCTCTCCATTTCGTACGACTTTTTAACCAAGATAGATAATTACCATTCTACGTCATTTCTCAAAAATAGCTCGAATCGAGAGAATACTTCTGCTCGATGAGCTCCAACATGATTAAGAAACATCATCATTACTGATTTGACTAGATAATGTCATCGCCTCTCCCCTGACCTATCTCAAGGAGACACGTGGCAAGGATGACGGAAGCACCTCGTGATGGGAATAACTACAGCTATCACAAACATTCATGATGACTTGTGAGGCCAATCTCTTTGTCCACTGAAATTCATCCAAACTGAATGTAACGACACTCTTATTAAGGAAAAATACTGTAGATAATGTGATCTAGTTACCATTGACGATGTGATTGAGGCGGCCAAAATTGGGTTATAAATTGAGGTCAATGGTCTCCCTCAATGGGACTCGAGCAAAACCAATACCACTATCCTCTTTCAAAACCAATATTACATTGCTTCACAACTCTGTGCTAGGAGGCGCAACCATCTATCACCAGCACTCTAGTCATTGCCACCTCTATTGGAGATTCCAATCACATATTTTGCAAAGTTCATCGTGAATCACCACAACAGATGTATATAATTTTGCCACATACTTCAAACCACCACCCATTTGTCGTTGATGTCACTTGAAACCCTTCTAACACATTCATTTACCACCACCACCATTATGACTCACCTTTTAAATTTCACTAACAAGTTCTTTTTCTGGTTATTTCAATAATCAATTTTATTTTTATTTTTATGGGGAGATTTTTGTTAGATTTTTCTTTTCAAGGAAAGATGATTTGGGTTCAACCATTATTCTGGTGTGAGCGGTGATGTTGGTTAATGAAGGTGGTAGTAGTGATGGATTGATCTCTTTCTTCCCTTTTTCTAGTTGGTGGTGGTGAAGGAAGGTGGCAATGGAGATGATATTGGGTATGGTGGTAATGGTGATGACATTGGTGGTTTGAAGGTTCGATTGGGATAAGTTTTTGCAGGTGATAGTGGTCTAGTGATGGTGGTGATAATGCGATGGTATAACACTGTACGTTATCAGAGACATGAAAGATGTATATGGTGGAGGTGATGGGGCAACCAGCATGTATAAATGATTGTTACAAGTGGCTGGGTTAATGGTTGTGGTGGTGTAACATGTACTAAATGTTACAAATGATGATGGCGATGGAAACAATGTGACGAAATTTTTAACATAATTTTACAAAATGTAACAGACTTTGTTGCAAAATTTCTTGTAAAATTTTGAGTTCAACTTGACATTATTTAATTCTAAAATTTCTCTAAGACACTTAGGAAGAAGAGTCTCTTGTATTACATCTCATAATAATCTTTCTTGAGACATGTTAGTGAACAAAACATATGCACCCAAACAAAGTAAATTTTGATTTCCATATCTTTTGTCGATTTAACAGTAATACTCTCAACATAATCGAATATTCTTCAAGATCTTGAGGAGTATAATATTTAGGCTTATTATATCAATTATCATTTAATTAAAATATACTAATTTAATCCATTCTGCTGCTTTCAACAACATTACCTAAGATACACAACGCTCAGCTGATTTTATTGCTGAAATGTAGTATTTGGCAGCATTCATTTGCTTAATAATACTTCAATTAATTATTAGTGGTTATAACTAGACATGACAGGACCCACTTGTGCTGAGTAAGCATGGTACGTATCCTCTTACACCATTAAGGCTGATTACTCAATCACTAGCTGTTTAGACATGTCCGGTTGACGGTCATATGTTGGCTCATGGTCCAATAACTGATTCCCCAGACTCAGATCTTAGCTCTGAATGAAATGCAGCTTTTGCCTTCAGTTAATCAACAGTCCAATAATACCATCAGCAATTCCCCTTGTACAGAGGAATTGCTGTCAGATTTCTCCAGATGTTGCTGTGGTAACATCTATATGGTCTATATTTCTTTTGTAATTGTTCAATAAAAAACGGTAAAGGGTGTTCTGTTGCAATTTCGACGAAACTTTTTCCGTACACGTAGTAGAACTGTAATACCATTTCATCCAACCATTCTGTATGAGTTATCTAGAGTTTTTAATCACGTGATAGCTTATCGTAACCAAATAAGTATGTCTTTAATTTTCATCGTAAGGCATGACCACTATAATTCTAGGGACAATGCTACATGTACATAATCATTTACCTACTATTCACAATAGGTGGTGGGGACCACATTTGAAGATTTTTATATTCACGCGAGGCCCGCCTGGGGACAACTTTCGATACATTCTATTCGGTACAAGTGGAATTGTCCTAATTCTAGTGGGGAAGGCACGGTAAGAGTCACCAACCACCACTATGTATCCCAATCCTATACCAACACTAGTGCACAATTACGAAAATTGAACTCATGGCCAGAACTCTATCCCCAACATTAGAATTTATATGACTTAAATATCAGAGTTCTTTCGATTACCAGCTTTATATCTTTCTCAGCAAGACTAGTTTGACGGTGTTTGTATATGGGAAATCGGATTTGGTTTCTACTCCTTACTATCTATTAAATATTCCAGCAGGATTATTATGATGTCTACAATAAATATTAATCATAGGGATTTAAATAAAAATTTAATATGATTAAAGGGCCTGGGCTCCATTCAAACAGCCGGCAGAATGACCTAGCCTCCTATATTGCCGGCCCGAAACATTCCCTAATATATTGCTCTCATTCTTGATTTCTCCCCCCACCCCTCTATATATCATTCATCTTTCTTCACACGAATTTCTCCACCATGCAACCATATATGGAAGAAACAACAGATAGCCTGGACAACAGTACTCCTAGCTCCGCCTCGACCATCACGACCACCGCCTCGGCCGATGTGTCGAGCATGCACCATGCAACAGTTGATGACTTCACCTTCATTCAGAAGCTTGGGAGTGGTGACATAGGCACTGTGTATCTTGTGGAGGTTAAAGGGTCCAAAGGGTGCATGTTTGCAGCCAAGGTTATGGACAAAGAGGAGTTGGCATATAGGAATAAAGAGAGTAGGGCAGGAATAGAGAGGGAAATACTTGAAATGTTGGACCATCCATTTTTGCCTTCACTCTATACAATATTGGATTGTCCTAGGTGGTCTTGTTTGTTGACCGAGTTTTGTCCGGGCGGTGACCTTCACATTCTCCGGCAACGACAGCCTGGAAAAAGGTTTGATGAAGCTGCGGTCCGGTGAGTGTTTGTTCACGATCCTCACTCTTCTACACTTACTGCATTACGTTGAACTACTTCATTTATAGATACAAATTATTAGAAATGATATGATTTACTTAACTATTACATGCTAGATGGATCGAGAGAAAATTGTAATGTCAATATTAAATGATTCGGGATAATAATTTCGTACCATATATAAATAGGTTGAAAATTATTCTGTTACGTGGTCATTTTTAGGGACGGACCCAGACAGTTCGAACTGTGGGGTTAAATTTTTTTTTTTTTCCGAACAACATATCATGAACAGAAAGGGAAAATCGGTTGTTTGCTGTTCATATTCGATATTTGCACTTTGAGAAGAAATCGGTGGATTATATAATATATCTATGGACTAAATAATGGATATGGATATAGATTTAGGATTTGGATAATCTATCGTGATTTGAAGCCTGAGAACATTTTAATAAGATCAGATGGTCATATAATGTTGACAGATTTTGATCTCTCATTAAAGTGTGATAACTCAACGTCAACAGCCCAACTTGTTTATGATCATCCCCGATCTAAAACTTGTCAGTCACACGATCAAAGAAGGGATCCATCAAATCGATTCTCAATGAAATCATGCATTCTACCAAGCTGTGTTGTGCCACGGGATTCTTTCTTTCGTGGAAGGAAGAAGAGGTCAGGATACAACGACAACCTAAAGATAGTAGCAGAGCCCATTGATGCCCGATCAATGTCCTTCGTAGGGACCCACGAGTACTTGGCCCCAGAAATCGTGACAGGAGAAGGTCATGGCAATGCAGTGGATTGGTGGACGTTAGGGATCTTTATATACGAACTTCTATATGGTATGACACCATTTAAGGGGGCCGACAACGAGTTCACCCTAGCTAACATTGTGGCTCGGGGGCTCGAATTCCCTAAGGAGCCAGTGGTGACATCCTCAGCTAAGGATTTGATAAGCCAACTCTTGAACAAAGATCCCACCAAGAGAATGGGATCTATGATGGGAGCTGCAGCAATCAAGCACCACACCTTCTTTCATGGGGTGAATTGGGCACTTTTGAGATGTACAAAACCACCATATATTCCCCAGCCCTTCAATTTTAGGGATATTGTTTCATCTAATTATGATAAATGTGATGTCAATGTAGAATATTATTAGCACAAGTTCTATACATTTATTATTGTTTCATTGGAAAAATCAATAAAATTTGGTCTAATTATTTACAAATCGCAGTTTTTATTTTCTCCACCATATTTTTATTGTAATGAAGGTCCTCAATCTTTGCTCATTGTTGCACTTATGTTCCAATTTTTTTCGTCGCATTCTTAATATCAATATTCAACTAATTTTTACATTTTGTCTGTGATAATGGATTCCGTTCAAAAGATCTGATAGTAGGCATAAAATATTTATATTTTATGTACTCCTCATGTTTTAAATCTAAAGTGGATGGGTACGTAGCCTTCGGGAGCGCTCATGATTTTCGTGAAAAAGAAATATGAATACGTGAAACTCTATATTAATTTCCACGAGTTGAACAAGGTTACCATTAAGAATAAGTACCCACTTCCTAGAAGTGATGATCTCTTTGACCAATTATAAGGTTTCACATTTTTTTTTCTTAAAATTGATCTACGATCGGATACTATCAATTAAATATTAAAGAAGAGGATGTCTCGAGGATTGCTTTTAGCACTATGTATGGACATTTTTTTGAGTTCTTAGTCATGCCTTTTAAATTAACTAATATCTCAGCAGCATTCATGGATCTCATAAACTGAGTATTTGAGGACTATCTCGATTGTGGAAGTTACCTAAATACTAATGATATGTTTGATATAGATTTTTGTGAAGTTGGTTTGTAAGAGTTTTGTAAGTACAGTTTCTTCAACTTCGTATCTGGTGCTCGTAAAGACGTACCTTTAGATTGATTACAAACCAGATAGGCATGATGTTCCTCACTGCTATTTCACTTTTCTAGGATTACTTGTTTCTCACAAGGTCACTCTTATTGACACAAGTACATAGTGTCCGCTTTCTGTAATGCAAACAAATCTGCTAATCTTACATGATGAATGATCAACAAATCAAGAAAATTTAAACGAGTTAGCAGGTTAAAAATGAAATATTTTCTGAGGTATGTTAAATTGTTAACAAATGGACTAGTGAAATACTGTTAAAGTATTTTCTTAACGTGCAAGACACAATAATTCATATACAGGAGAATCTTGAACTAATTTTTGAAGTTTCTGCAAAATCGACTAGAATATTTCTTCGAAATGTAATGAACATAATAAATTTAGTTAATTAATGTTTTATATTTCATGATCTGCTATTAAAGATGCTTCAAGCTTCAACAAAAATAATATACAAGTATTTTTCACCAGGATAATCCATTTTCAGTAAAAAAAAACCTTATAGAATTTGATATCGATAAAAGAATGCACAGCATGCTTAATCATAAATTTCAGTTCAAGATTCTTACTTGAAAATGATGAATGCTCAAAATCTTCATAGTTGAATCACCTTACTGTTCCATGTTCCAAACTTTGCTTTTGTTGCACTCATACGATCCCAATCTCAATCTCAATCTCAATCTCAATCTCAATGGAATGGATTTATTATCTATAAAAAAGGCCAAAAGGGAAGGAAGAAATAATACTTTATTCACACCTCTGAATCTGTACAATGCAGGATATATATAGAAAATTATCATCATTGAGATTGTGTGAGACTGTGACACGTTTCCTAACTGCGTAACAAAATGCATTGTGATTGTAACAGGTGTACACATTTACAAATACCAATTTACAATGGATTTGCAAGTATCAGCAGGTCATATTTGTTATCTGCTAATATTCCCCCGCAAACGAAGGGTGGTAGGAGAAAGAACCCTTAGTTTGTGCTTCAGCCGAGTAAAATGTTGAACCGCAAGAGGTTTTGTGAGGATGTCTGCAACTTGATCTAATGCAGGAACATGTTGGACAGCTAGAGTGTTATTAAGAACTCGTTCCCTAACAAAGTAAAGGTCAAGCTCCAAATGCTTTGTACGAGAATGTAAAACTGGATTAGCACTAAGTGCCATTGTGCTCAGATTATCACACCAAATGACTATAATTTTAGTTTGATAGATTCGAAGCTCCTTAAGTAAAGATTGCAACCATATTAATTCTGAAGTAGCATTAGCTAAGTTACGGTATTCAGCTTCAGTACTTGAGCGTGAGACGGTAGATTGTTTCTTTGAGCTCCATGAAACTAGATTATCTCCAAGAAATAAACAATAACCAGAAGTGGAGCGGCGGTCATCTAAGTCTTGTGCCCAATCAGAATCTGAAAATCCATGAAGATAAAGATTATTCGACTTGGAGAAGTGGAGACCATGATTTGCAGTACCACAAAGATATCGAAGAATGCGTTTAACTACCTTCCAATGCGGTTCAAGAGGAGATTGCATGAATTGACATACTTTATTTACACAGTATGCTATTTCAGGCCGAGTGATTATTACATATTGCAATGCCCCAACAGTGCTTCGATATAAAGTTGGATCTCCAAATGGATCACCATCAGAGGAAGTGAGAGACAGACTTGCCACCATGGGTGTTGGTTGTGGTTTAGAATTGCTCATCTTAACTCGATCGAGGAGATCCTTGATATACTTCTCTTGAGACAATAACAGACCACCAGTAGTAGTATGCTTCACCTCAATCCCTAAAAAATAATGAAGACTTCCCAGATCTTTCAAGAAAAATTCAGAGTCTAAACAAGAAATCAGATACTCAATTTCTGGATTGCTAGTCCCAGTAATCAATATATCATCTACATACACAAGGACGTAGCTACAAAGTGTGGCATTGCATTTGATAAAAAGAGAAGTATCTGCTCGAGAAGCATGAAAACCAAGAGACAATAGGTAAGTTTTCAAACGATCAAACCACGCTCGAGGGGCTTGTTTTAATCCATACAAAGCTTTATTGAGCTTACAAACCAACCTATCATGTGGTGCAGAAGCTTCAAATCCTGGGGGTTGAGCCATATATATATCTTCAAGCAATATGCCATTAAGAAATGCATTATTTACATCAAGTTGACGTACCTGCCATCCACGAGTAATGGCAATGGAGAGAACCACACGTATGGTTACTGGTTTCACTACAAGACTAAAAACATCTGAGTAATCAAAGCCAGGAACTTGATGGTAACCTTTTGCAACTAGTCGCTCCTTGTATCGAGAGATAGAACCATCAGGATTTCTCTTGAGTTTAAACACCCATTTGCAGCCAATCAACTTTCTGTCTAGGGGCAAAGAGACTAAGTTCCAAGTACCATTGTTAATTAATGCAGCATATTCCTCATGCATATATTCCACTGAGGACATTTGAGAGCTTCCTTGAAAGAGTTTGGTTCGTTGTTTTGTAGGTCGGTCGTGAGAAGAACTTTAGGTTTAAAGATTCCAGCCTTGGATCATGTGACCATATGATGAGTGCTAGTAGGTGGTGAAGACATAGGTGATGATTCTGATGGTGAAGGCAGGATAGCAGGCAATGATTTAGGCTCGGTAGTTGATTCACTAGGGAACAGCGATGACATAGAGTGTGTTGGAGAGTGAGGTGCTGGTGAGTTTTGCTGTGAGAAATCAAGGTTGGGATTACTTCTTAGCAAAGTAGTAGAAGATTGTCCAAGATGAGTTGATTGCAGAGGTGGACATATGACTGGAAGAGGTTGACTGACACTAGAAATTGTAGAAGACTTTTGTGAAGCATAAGGGAAAGTTTTCTCATCGAACACTACATGACGAGATATGAAAATCCTTCCATCAGGTGCTAAGCACTTAAACCCTTTGTGGTTATGACTGTAACCAATGAATGTACACGGGGTTGATCGAAAGTTTAATTTGTGTTTGTTATAGGACCGAAGGCAAGGGAAACACATGCAGCCAAACACACGTAAAAATGTATAATCAGGTTTGGTATGCAATAGCCGTTCCAAAGGAGACTGACCACTTAAGACTGTAGTGGGTAATCTGTTGATAAGATATACGGCACTTGAGAACGTATCATCCCAAAATTTTAGAGGTAATGAGGCTTGGGCTAAAGAGTAAGACCACACTCAACAATGTGTCTATGCTTACGTTCAACGACTCCATTTTGTTCAGATGTATGAGGACAAGAATGTCTGTGGGCTATCCCAGTTGAACTCAAGTACGGTGTAAGAGAATGAAATTCACCTCCCCAATCCGTTTGAAGAATTTTGATCTTTTTGTCGAGTAATAATTCAACTTGAGCTTTGAAACGAAGAAAAAGAGAATATACTTCAGACTTGCTTTTAAGGAAAAATATCCAAGTAAACCTAGAGTAAGCATCCACAAAGCTTACATAATAGCGATAACCATTTGTGGAGGGTGTGAATGCTGGACCCCATAGATCAGAGTATATCAAATGTAATGGCTCATGATAAACAACCCTAGAATGAGAGAATGGTAACTTTTTACTTTTCCCCAATTGGCAAGCAGAGCAAAATGATAAATTTTCATTCATTCGAATAGGGACATTACATGAAGATAGAACCGTCCTGACAATTGAAATAGCGGGATGACCAAGCTTCTTATGCCGGGTCCATAATTTGATTGACTCTAACATTAGACTTAACTGGACTAGAAGACACTGGACTCAAACTAGCACCTACTGACTCTAAAGAAAAGGCAGAAAGAGGACTCGACTGATGTTGAATAGAAGAACTTGAGGATGATAATGGAGATGATGCAAGAGATGCCTTAAACAGATTAAACCGATACAGCCCATTATGTAGTCTCCTTCAGAGTAGCTCCATTCCCGTGGCCTGATCATTCACAAAACACAAATGCGAGTGAAATTCGAAATAAACATGATTGTCACGAGCAAATTGGCTAACACTAAGCAAGTTCTTTGTAATTTGTGGAACATGCAGTAGTTTGGACAGAGTATAAACACGGGACGAATTAGAAGACCTAAAAAAGGATGAGCCAACATGAGATATTGAGAGACCTTTACCATTACCCATCACAATTTTATTGTTCCCCAGATATTCGTTGCTAATATGCAGGTTGTTCAGGTCATTAGTCACATGATTTGTTGCTCCCGAGTCTGGAAACCACCCATTCTCAGCAAGTAACTCAGGGGCTGCCATCATTGCTGCCATTTGAGTGGACCTATCTCTACTTTGACTACTTGAAAGAGAGGTATTCCCAGCACTACTGAAACCAGAGAATGAAGGGTCAAAACAGTAGTAGCATTTCTGCGCTGTGTGTCCAATTCTACCACAAAGTTGGCATTGAGGCTTGTTGTTGCCATTCCATATTTTGTTTCCACCGCGGCCACCATGACCTCTGTTGTGTAAATACAGATTTCTCCCATGAGAAAATTTTTGGACATTGCCCCCATTTTTCTTTGACTGGTCTTGAAGTGCCAAATGTTGGGAATCTACTTATACATGCACAGCGGAAAATTAAATTATTTCGATTCCCACCAAATAGATCTCATTGTGTTTGGTTAGGAATTGTGATAAGATTGTACCTTTTCCAGATCTGCAATCCTTTTGCTTTTCTTTTCGTTCCACAACTTTGATTGGCCACCACAGCTGTCCAATTGTCCAGCCTCCAACGGTGATCCACACAGAGAATATGATTGCAGCCTCTAGGATTTTCTCTTGTGCTAGCAAGAATAATGAAAACCTTAATGGACCTCAAACCCTAGTTATGTATTTATATAAACCCAAACAGGCTCGGTCCAGTCCGGTCCAATAATTAATTAATCCAATTAATTAAACCCGGTCCGTGAATTAATTAATCCAATTAATTAATTCGAAAATATAAATAACAAATCCAATTAATTAATTTATCTAACGATTGTTAAATTAACCAATTGGAAATTTTTCAATCTTCCAATTCTCTTTTGTGTGTGACCCATTGGTTCCCGACCACGACGCCTAACGACGTGAAATATTATTTTGATCTAATCAAAATTGATAAATTAAAACACCCTTTTAATTTATCGCCAATTCACATTCGCCGTCCCTGATTGACATCTAGCAATGTGTCAGGGTAATACATGTGACGGGAAATGTCAGTGGTATGACAAAACCAAATTCGTTCGTTTACCGTGAAACTATAATCCCTTCGTCAATATGATCCGATTAATTACGAGATATGGAGTTGTGTCAATCTCGATCATCGATCATATCTTTCACTCCACTATTAAGTCAATATAAATCGAAAACTCCTTTTCGACTTATGAGTACACCTTGGCCAAGGATTTCATCATTGACTTAATTGAATGAAACGCAGATCATAATCTCCTACTATCTAAGAGTGACGAATCCTTTATTGATCAATCACAACCTTCATGCGATTCTTGACGTACCCGAACGATGTTGTATTAGCGGCCCTTTTCAGAGCAACATCCAACACCGCCAAAGTATGACTGTCCTCATATAAGGTACCATGACGACCTCAAGTCAAAGGACCAATTTCACTACCGAACGTTAGAGATTAACCACCGACACTCAGATAGTTATCCATGTGGAATCTCTCGACGGGTCTCCAATGTTTTGTTCTATAACAAACATCCACGTGTTCATTTAAGTGTCACCACACTTTAGCTTATGAGATCAGCTACTTACTTCACAAGTAAGAAATGCCACACGTGATGGTCTATCCGTAATAACGATATCCGTATCTCGTTATTACTTACGACCACGGATGATTTAAGATTCAATCAGATGTAATTTATATCTCACAATCACAACTCCTTGTGATTAACAAATTACAAATATTCGAATCTACGGACTCTATTATTTATTTAATTGTCTATTAATTAAATAATAGATCTGCCATTTAATTGCATTAATTATATATAAAAGTATTTATGTCCAAAGTTGATTGGACCTAGGGCATAATACTTACACCAAATTCACAGTAGCTTGTGACTCATCTCCATTTGCAGAATACTGTTCAATCCGATTTTCATGTGCGAGAAAAATCTCAGTTACATCTTGTAAAGAGTAGGGCTCTACACGTGATGTAGCAGAGACGATAAAAGATTCATACTCAATTCCCAACCCAGCTAGAACATAAAGTATTTGGTCCTCCTCTGAAATCTTTTGTCCAGCAGAAGTAAGAACATCAGCATAAGCCTTCATCTTCCGGAGGTATTCACACATACTCAAACCTCCTTTCTTCTGGGTCTGGAGTTGAAGCTTGTGTTGCATCACCTTTGCCTTAGATCTAGATGCAAACAGACGTTCAACAATACGCCAGATATCACTGGCCGTGTTTGATCCCACCATTTGGGCTCGAATGCTCTCCGTCATTGATGCCTATAACCAAGAGAATATCAGTTGGTCTTGGCGATGCCAGAAAACATAGTCTGGATTAATAGACCCTGGTTTACCATTTACGGTTGGAGTGAGTTCTCGAGGACAAATAGCAGAACCATCTATAAATCCCTCCAACCCAAAACCGTGAATTCCATCGAGAACATGTTGTCTCCATATGAGAAAATTTCCATCATGCAATCGTACAATAGCTAGTTGATTTGCAGGATTAATAGGTTGGGAAGGTTGAGATAAGGAGAAATAAGGAATGGGTTAAGCATTATTGACCGGATCAAGGCTGGATTCAGTGGTTGGGACTTGATTTTCAGAGATGGAATTTGGAGACATCATATGGCTCTGATACCATATAAAAAAAGGCCAAAAGGGAAGGAAGAAATAATACCTTATTCACACCTCTGAATCTGTACAGTGCAGGATATATATAGAAAATTATCATCACTGAGATTGTGTGAGACTGTGACACGTTTCCTAAGTGCCTAACAAAATGCATTGTGATTGCAACAGGTGTACACATTTACAAATACCAATTTACAATGGATTTGCAAGTATCAGCAGGTCAGATTTGTTATCTGCTAATATTATCCATAATCTAAATGTCAAAATCTGTAAGTTTTCATGTAAAAAATGTAGTTCTAGGTACTCCTTAATTTTGGTGTAATATTTCTACGAATTACACCATTTATCTCATCTATTTTCTCTCTTTTCTTGCCAAGACAAAATATTGAAAGTTAAGGAAACTTGATAGAGGGCGAGAGCATTAAGTCTGAAATCAATTCAAAGTATTCCCTCTAGCCCACTTTTATGTCTTGTTGATCAGATCACACCACAGAAACGATCCATGATCCTTATTTTTCGACTTTGGTTCTTCGAAGGTCATCAAATTAAATTATCAAACACTCTTATAGGCCTACAAACCCGATCCTGGGCCTCCGAAATCAAAACAAGAGGTTAATTAAATATTTTATCAAGAAATTAATGTAGGAAATTGTAGCTCTATATGTGCGCCTTGTCTTCTTATGTTTTTGACATTGGTATATACGGAGAAATAAGTTTCGGTGTTGCAGTAATGACAATGCTATGTCCTTGTTCGGTTTAGATAAAAATCAAATTTTTAATAAATTTTAATTTGATAAGATAAAATCAGTACTCGAAAAGTTGTGGATCTCATGAAATGTGTGATTAAAATTAATTATTGATTATGACTTGTATTTTCATCAAACTTTTTGTTGAACCAAACAAGGGTTATATATTTGAAACAAAACATGGGCGAACAGAAAACAAGACGAGTAAAATGTTTTTCTCTGTAGAGCGATGGCTGAAATTGATAAATCAATAATTGCACACATATATATTATACCATACATAATAAGCAAGAAACAGCACAGAGATGAGTTCATTGAAGATAATGGAGAGAATGCTTCAAAGCAGAATAAACAGCACGCCAGCCCTTGTCCGATGGATGTATTGGATCCCAGAAAAATGACTGCTTAGTATTCTCACAGACAACGTATTACTTCGTCCCAGTTTTATCAACACTTCCACATAAGCCTTCACCGTTCACACCAAGACAGCATGGCTTCAATCCACTTTCGAATGTCGAATTTCCTGAAATCGGAAATATATTTATTAGCAAAAGATTTGATATGATTAATTAATACATGGACCTCTCTTGCTAACTAGGATTTACTTACCTGGATCACATTTTTTTTTTTAATTTCAAGGCAGAGGAGATTGTGCGATAGAGGTCGTGGAATACACAAACAGATTATGCACCTGTTTCATTGTTCAACCTGTGCAAATTTTGCTGAAGCACTTGGTTGTGAAACTGTGCAATATTATTTCCTGTTTCACTGCAGCGTTTATATGATGTTGAAGCAGTTATCGCAGGAAGGCACCCTAGGGGTACAATTCCTGTAACGGCTATTTTTTGCACTCTGAATTCGTGTATACGCTTCAGATTCAAGACTATCTGATAAATGACTGATTTAGTGAATGCCTCCAAACCCTATTCACATTAAGCGTACCGTATTGAGCCTAGCTACTTTACCATATAAATATTTGGAACATGGCAACAAAATTAACATTTAAAATTTTCCGTCGATACTATTACTGAAACATTAATTACGGACTATTTTTCAAGAAAAATAATGCGTGAGCGCATGTGTGCATTTGTGTCACATAAGTTGAAACACTGTACCTCTAACGAGCCATTTTTGGCAAAATAAGTACCATAGTCATTGCCTGCTAGGGACACAAGGACAATAGAGGTCGAAACTGGGAAACTGGGAAAGTTCACGGCCGAAATGAACACAACCGCGAGAACTCAATGACTGTTCTAGAAATCATGTGTGTGTTCTATTGTCTCAGTTTGCAACTATAATTGTAGAGTTCAAGACATAGTTCACTCTACAGTTAGTAAGCTCGATAGAATATACAAAGCCAAGGTTCAAGTCGATAGACACCTAAGCCTGCATGATTTCTACCGTACTCCAGAGTAATATTTTCATTTATCTTATTTCTTTCATGTGGGGGACTGTTATATATTTATGGTATAAATATAAAATATGAAAGAAATAATCAAATTAGATAAAGTGCCAAAGTGGTGGGAAATGTGACATTTGTGTGGGACGTCAGGGGTTCGAATCACTCCCCACGCAAATATTAAAATGTCTTGATTTGGGCCTTGGGCTTCCTTGACTAAAATAAAT